AACCTTCAGATTGCCCATGCTTTTCCACAAAAACATGGAATACAATTATTTCTTGCAATTTGGAGAAGGTGCCAATAATTTTGTCCAGTCCATTTTTGGAGATTTGTGTGGAATGTGTCAGGTTTGGCTTTTTTTTTCCCCTCCACTTTTTTTGTGTCATACCAATACAAACAAAAGAAACATGAGAATGCCTAAACATTTGTAATTGCCACAATTTTCTGCGTGAAATGGTGCATTATCTGACAGAAATGCAGGGGTGACAATATTTTTGGCCATGACTGTACATTGCGGTATACACACAAAAGTAACTGGAATTAAATAGGATAATCAAAACAATACAGAAAATAAGCCAGTTGGGACCATTGTCAATATACTGTCATAAACAATCAAAAATGCAGGAATAAGATACAGTAAAATGAATATCATTCTAAAATACAATGTATGTCACAATAAGACTTAATCCATTAACAACATACTGCATGTCAAAGAATAAACTATAAAGAATATGTAATAAGATGCATGGATCATTAAACTAGAATACTACCACACTTAGGCACCATTATCCCTATGCACATATAATAATAGCTATGAAGGTAAAAAGGATAAAATAACCTTAATAAGTCCAGTCTCATCATCCAAATTGAACATTCCGACTATTAGACGGGTACGTTGACATAATTATTGGGGCACATATAAAACAATGTGCCTAAATGGGTATATTAACACATATCAGAATGGCCCTATTTGAGTAGAAATAGTAAATGGACCCAGATGACGGTTGGGGTGGGGGAAGAAAGGAAACCAGTGTAGAACCAGTGTGTACCCTATAAGTGAGTATTGATAAGCCGAACACCCCCGTGTTCGGTTCGAATATAAACTTTCGAAAATGGGAAAAGTTTGTATTCGATCTCAAACTCAATGCAAGTCTATGGGGGTAGAACATTGATAATCAAATGTCCCCATTTTGAAGCCTTATATCCAATTTATTGGCCATAAAAAGGGGTATGGGGATCCGGGTACTGCCCTGGGGGACAAGAATCAATGAAAAAAAACTTTTAAAAAATACTTAAAGGAGCAGTGATTTTAACATTGATTAAAGCAGCGTTTTTCAACCACTGTGCCGCGGCACACTAGTGTGCCGTGAGATATTGTCTGGTGTGCCGTGGGAAAAATTCCAATTTCATCCGTAACATGCGGCTTCGGCTCACAAATAGACCAATCATTAGAATCTAATGATTGGTCTATTTGTGAGCCGAAGCCGCATGTTACGTGGGGGGTCAGTGGACACAGAGGGAGTGGTGGGAGAGAGGTGACACAGTGGAAGAGCCAGAGAGGGAGCAGTGGACACAGAGGCGGTGGTGGGAGAGGAGAGAGGTGGGCACACTGGCAGGGGAGAGATGGGGGGGTCAGTGGACACATAGGCGGTGGTGGGAGAGGAGAGAGGTGGACACATTAACAGGAGGAGACCTGTGGGGGACAGTGGACACTGGAGGAGAGAGGTGGGAATAATGGCAGTGAAAGAGCTAGAGGGGGGTCAGTGGACACTGAGGCGTTGGTGGGAGAGGGGTGGGCACAATGGCAGGGGGAGAGCTCGGGGGTCAGTGGACACATAGGTGGTGGGAGAGAAAGTGGGCACACTGACAGGGGAAGAGCTGGGGGGGTCAGTGGACACAGAGGTGGTGGTGGGAGAGGAGGGCACAATGGAAGGGGAAGAGCCAGAGGAGGGTCCGTAATTGAATTTGTTTCGGGATTCGGATTTGGACAAAATTCGTTAGTTGTAGTCCGGTCGCCAAGGCTCGGCGAGTTTTTGTCGGTTTCGGACAGTCGTCGTGCGGGGCGACTTTGTTTATTTCGGCGGGTCGGTGGGCGTCGTGCATCGTGATTGACGCTGGATTACATCGATGGAGCCAATTTTTTTTACAATTAACCTCCCTGGCGGTCTGATTTTTTCCAATATTCTTTGCTTTTTTTTGTCTATTTTTTTCTGGTTTTTTTTTCCGATTTTTTCTTACATTTCCCACTGGTTCCACCCGGAAGACGGATGCCTGCATCGGCCGGAGGACACAGCGCAGCTCGTAGGGAGAAGGTAAGTGAAGCGCTCTGTAATCCCGAGTGTGTCTCGGGGGTTACCACTTTTGGTACTGAAATTTAACCCCGAGCCACACTCAGGAATACTGCCAAGAAGGTTAAAGGAATAGTCAAAAAATTGTATCTTTATTTTTTTTTTTTACAATTAAAGGATTTTATCAAAAGTCTGGACTTAACTATTAACTATTTTACTAAACATTTTTTTTTTCTAATGTCACTTTGCTGCAACAAAATTTCATCCAGTAAACGTAAGTTCGTCCAGGTTACCGCTAACGAATTTCGGGAAATCGGAAATTCGGATTAGTTGGCATGCATTATTTCTGTAATTCGGATATATCCGAATCTCCAAAATTTTGTCCGAATTTTGTTTCGGAACGAAACGAATCCCACATGTCTACTGTGTAGACTGACACTCTCTGCCTGTGTGATACTGTGCAGCCTGACACTTTGTGCCTCTGTAATACTGTGCAGCCTACCACTTTCTACCTGTGTGGTACGGTGCAGCCTGCCACTTACTACCCATGTGTTACTGGGCAGACTGACACTTTCTGCTTGCCTGGAACCATCTGAAAGTCCTCACAGCCCAACATAGACTGTGCATAGCCACCTGAGAGTCCGCACAGCCCACCATAGACCCCGCACAGCCACCTGACAGTTTGCACAGCCCACCTGAGAGTCCGCACAGCCCTCCCAAGACCCAGCATAGCCCAGCCGAGAGTCCATACAGCCCACCATAGAAACTGCGCAGCCATCTGAGAGTTTGCACAGCCCACCATAGAACCTGCACAGCCCACCTGAGAGTCCGCACAGCCCAACATAGAACCTGCACAGCCACCTAAGAGTCAACACAGCCCACCATAGAACCTACACAGCCCACCTGAGACTCCGTACAGCCCACCATAGACCCCGCATAGCCCAGCTGAGAGTACGCACAGTCCATCATAAAATCTGCAAAGCCACCTGAGAGTCTGCACAGCCCAACATAGACCCTGCACAGTCCACCTGAGAGTCCGCACAACCCACCATAGAGCCTTCACAGCCACCTGAGAGTCTGCACAGCCCACCAGAGAATCCACATAGGCCAGTTGAGAGTCCACACAGCCCACCATAGAGCTCGCACAGCCCACCATAGACCCTGCACAACAACCTGAGAGTCCGTACAGCCTAGGATAGAACCTGCACAGCCCATCTGAGAGCCCGGACAGCCCACCATAGACCCCGCATAGCCCACCTAAGAGTTTGCACAGCCCACCAGAGAGTCCTCACAGCCCACCATAAACCCGACATATCCCATCTGAGTGTCCACACAGCCCACCATAGACCCTGTAGAGGCCACCATAGAACCTGCACAGTGACCTGCGAGTCCGCACAGCCTGCCTGAGACCCCACATAGCCTAGCTGACAGTACACACAGCCCACCATAGAACCTGCAGAGCCCACCTGAGGCTCCGTAAAGCCCTTCATAGCCCACCTAAGACTCCGTACAGCCCACCATATACCCCGCATAGCCCAGCTGAGAGTACGCACAGCCCACCATAGAATCTGCACAGCCACCTGAGAGTCCACGCAGGCCAACATAGACCCTGCACAGTCCACCTGCGAGTCCGCACAGTCCACCTGCGAGTCCGCACAGCCCACCATAGAACCTGCACAGCCAACTAAGAGTCCGCACAGCCCACCATAGACCCTGCACAGCCCACCTCAGTCCCCTCACTAAGAGTCCGCACAGCCCTCCATACACCATGCACAGCCCACTGAGAGTGTGCACAGCCCACCATAGAATCTGCACAGCCCACCACAGATCCCGAACAGGCTACCATAAACCCTGCACACCCTCCTGAGATCCCGCACAGCCCTCCTGAGACCCCACACAGCCACCTTGGATCCTCTGCTGGAGCCATCAGACATCACCCGAGAGCAGCACAGAGTATGTGGCTTCATATTATTCTGCATTGATGTATAATGAATTGCTGGGATTTGTAGTCCTCTAGAGCTGGTGATATTCTGCATTGCTGTATAATGTATTGCTGAGATCTGTAGTTCCTCTACAGCTTGGAGTCAGTGGCAGGACTAGCAGGGTCCCAGCAGCACTTGCAGCTGGGACCGGGCCCTGGAACTTCACTACTGTCGTAAAATCATTAGTCTATATTGTTTTAGAAAAAATGTCACAGGACACTAAAAAAAAAAGTTACAAAAAAAAAGTATCGGTAATTGGTATCGGTGATCTGCTTTACATGTGTTGTCATTCTTGCAATTTGTGACCCCTTATCTTACTATGAGATGAAAGTATAGAGTGTGGTGACTTCAGATTATACAGAGCAACACTTTGGACATAATTGTTTTCCCCAAGTGTCACTTTGCAAGTGAATGTAGATATCTCCCCTCAGGCTGTTTTATTAGGATATAATTCCTGGAATTTCTGTCGACGTCTGGAATATAAAATGACCCCACTTTGTGCAGGATATCAGAATAAAGTGATTATTGGATTCTGTTGAGGACTCTATATTGCAGAATTACTTCACTGCAGAATTTGGCTCTGACTCTTTATAGCAGCTTACACTATGATAGATATTGTCTCATGAATCCTATATGTCATTTAATGCCAAAAGAATAGAGTGTGAAAAAGGAGAATTTTTGATAAATTTTTATTGTTGATACAAAAAAGTTTTCTGTAATTTGCTGGGGCCTCGGATTATTTTACTAATATGTCTTTGGCAATATGTTATTCTTCTAACATATTATTAAAAGCTTTTTATATATACCTATACCCAGATATCATGCTTTTATAATACCTGATAAACAATATATTGTATGTGGAGGCCTCAGATGGCCAATAGGAGCTGAGGTATTTTGCATAGGAAGTTGTGGTTACTATATACAGTAGAATATAAATGTTAGAAGAAGAAGGATTCAGTTATTACTCTTTTCTGTTTAAGTGATTCCTCATCATCCTCATCATGTTCTGGACTGTCTTCTCTGTCATAACTTATTTTTCCTGTAAGTAATATTTTATAGTTTATATATGATTACTGTCTATAAATATATTAGGATTGTTGTACTATCAGCATTCTCTCATTTTTGTTTCAGATTCTGTGGCTCAGTTTACTGTCATTCAGGAACCCACAATAATTGCCTCTGTTGGTGGCAGTGTCCGTCTGTCCTGTGGTCGGAGTGATGCCTCTGTAGCTGGTGGTAACTACCCAACCTGGGTATATCAGGCACCTGGGAGTGTTCCTAAGGGTTTAGTAGGTAGCGATGGAAGCAGCAATCATAATATAAAACCCCCAGGAACTTCTGATCGTTTTTCTGGATCCATCTCAGCAGGCTCCAGTGTCTTGTCTATCAGTAATGTACAGCCTGCAGATGACGGAAATTATTACTGTGCTCTACATACTGGTGGTGCGTGCACAGTGCTACAAATTCATATGCAGTAAGACATTAATATCAACTTCCTCTTTTTGCTCCTCATACAGACTTATTTAAATAGGAAACAAATAATCAGCAAAGTATTGCATACTGATATGACTGCAGTTGTATCAGCTATGACTGTTGCTATCGGTTACTGCCCTTTTCAAATGTATTATTGTTCATATTGCACTGTTTAAATTGGTATTTCTAATTTCCCCTTGATTAGCCTCAGCTATAAAATCATTCCCTGCCCATTTATGCCACATGACAGCAAAATAAAATAAGGGTGGAAATACAACCTCTTCAGCTCCCATTCCTGTATACCCCTTATAGACCAATTTTTTACTCCTCCCCCCTGCTCAAGACCCCAAGATATTTTTTTCTTAATTTTTCAGTTCCAGCCTAGCAGGACTGTTCATTTTCTACCCCCCTGGCCTTAGGATGAAGACTCCCTACCTCCATAAATCTGGAGTGAAATAATTAATTGATGTGTTTTGGGTCTATAAAGGAGGTCTCCTGAATACTAGCTGATACCGGGGTGTTACACTGGCTAATGTTTGTGACTGCCAGGATGAGCATTCCTTGGATATTGTGCACTCATGGACTGACCTCCAGCTTAGGAAGTAGGTTGCCTGCCCTGTACAGCTTCTGCCACTTACTAGTTGAATTGCCCTGTGCCGCCTGCCACTTTCTGCCTGCGTGGTACCCTGCAGCCTGCCACTTTCTGCCTGCCTTGCCCTGTAACAACAGTCCTTTTACTTCCAGGAGTTAGGCTGCTGACCAGGACTTTAGGTTATCTTTTGTTTTTAGCAATCTCATCCTCAGCTTGGGACAGAACAGGGAAGTGCACTGGCAGGTGTTCCAACTGTGGGTACTCGGTGCAGGTGCAGGGATTTGCACATATGCAGCATGACAGGAAGTCTAAAAACAAAAAGCACAGAGCGCCCCGACATGTGCAAGATCATTTTATTAAGAGATAAAACACAGTAAAAACATACTCACCAAAGTAGAATAGTAAGCGCTTGTAAACTCCTTCGATCCGGGAATGGGAATTGCATAACCTGTATTGGCAATCCACATAGAAGGCGCCGATCCGCTGGCAGGCATGCCCCCTCACGGCTAACCATCTGTGTTTGTGGCTTACGCATTTTCCAGGGATCGCCCTCTTCATCAGAGCCACTAATTGTGAGCTTGCCTGCACATTAAGGACTGAGAAGCCACCAATCAAATCTCTCCTCTGCAGTAACCAATCAACAGGCTTCCATGAATTGCTATAGAGATCAACAATATTTATACACAGTGGAGTCCGTTGTAGCCGGCTTCATAATAAGCTCAGCACAGACATATCCTTGCACTGGGAGGAATTCATTAATACTACCAATAATAGTGATACCTCCGCCACCTTGTATTCTAAACCATAAACAAGGTCATCTGGTCTATAAATTGCGGCTTAGTCTCCCTCAATTAAAACGCAACAGGCTTCTGACCTCACAATTGTATACGCCATAAAAGCAATGCATTGAGCATACAAAGATATAAATATAGATGTATAAAAGACAGAAAAAAGGACATTATTAGCTAAAAAATAAATAAATACTAAAATAGGCATAAATCTATGAATTCCTACCGATGCCCCAGTGCAAGGATTCATCTGTGCTGTGCTTATTATAAAGTGGGTTACAATGGACTTCACTATGTATAAACATTGTTGGTCACATGTCGGGGTGCTCTGTGCTTTTTTGTTGTTAGAATTTCTAAGTAATGCTGGGCACACACCTTACAACCATCGCAGGACTTTTGTCTTGCGATGGTTGTAAGGAAATTAAAAAGACGTACCATCTGCCTATCTTGGACAGGCAGATCGTACTTGCGATAATCGCAAGCCCGCCCCGCTGAGGGGCGGGCTTCCGATGATCGCAATGCTGAACAGGCATCCTCATGTCTTCTCTTGCTGGGGGAGAACTTCCCTTTGCAGCTGAGTGCCTCTTCCTGTAGTGCTGGCTCAGGTTGTGAACCTGCACACAGACACCATGTATGCATTTCAGAGACAAGGCAGTCTGCTGCAAAACAGAAGTTCTGCCCAGCATGAGAACAGATACAGATTTAAAAGGAAGAGCAGCAAAGAGAAGGGAAACAAACATGGATTACAGTTTAAAAGGAAGAGCAGCAAAGAGAAGGGAAACAACCATGGATTACAGTAAGGCACACATTACAGTATTGTTTTATGTTAAAAAATCTGAGGGTTTAATGTCACTTTAAGGTTCCCTAGTCCTTGCGAAGGAGCAGCACAGTGTGTGAAGATCGACATTTTTTTGTGGGAAGGTTGATCCACAGCTGCCACTAGCCAGGGTGTAATGCTGTTAGCAAGTTGGGTGAATCTCAGCTGCGGAGGCTAATTGGTTTAGGGGAGATTCCCTAGGGTACGGCGTCAGGGTCGAGCTCCAGGCGTCACTCTCAGAGTCTTGAGCGGAGAGTTTGGAGCTCTACCATCATATGCCGCGAAAACAAAATTAGGGAGTAGGGGGTAGCACACTATTCCTTCATAGTACTATAGCATACCCCAGGTCATAAAGCAATTGTATGTGTAGGCTTACTGAAACAGCCCTACTTCCCCTTTAAGAGATGAGAATCCACTGATAGGAAGGTAGCAGTATACCACTAGATGCATAGATTGCCACAACAATTTATGAGTAGAGATCTTCTTAGCAGATCCTGCATATAGATACTTGCTATTTGTAGTTAAGGCAGTAGAGGATCCTCTCAGTCCTTGGTTCTCAGTCACACAGCAGGGAGCAGGCTGTCAGCTGGCGTTCACGAGTGAATAATAGAACGCCATACTGACCTGGCTTCCTGCTATTTATGAGGAAGTGAAGGGGAGAAGCTGGTGACGTTTTCCCGCCCCGATGCATTCCACGCTGGAACGCATCGGCGATGTTACTTCCGGGTTGCGGCTGCGTTCCACCCTGGAATGCAAGCCGCGATCGTACCCTCTCCCACGCTCCTGTGTTCCCTAGGGGGACGCAGTCTGTGATCCTTACACAGGGCCAGATGAAGAGCATCACGGGTCTGGTGCTGAGGATTTCGATGGGCCTTTTTATGGAAGTGTTGACGGTCACCAGGGCCCTCTTCCTCTTGTGATTTGTAGTCTCTCTACAGCTTGGAGTCAGTGGTGGAGTGTCAGGGCCTGGCTGCAGCTGTGAGCCTGGTACATCTGCCACTGACCCCAAGTTGTACAAAGACTACAAATCTCAGCAATACAATATACAGCATTGCAGAATAACGCCAACTATAGAGGACTACAAATCCCAGCAATACATTATAAAGCAATGCAGAATACCAACAACTATAGAGGATTACAAATCCCAGTAATACATTATACAGCAATACAGAATAATACCAGCTATAGAGGACTACAAATCCCAGCAATACATTATAAAGCAATGCAGAATGGCACCGGCTATAGAGGACATCAAATCCCAGCAATACATTGTTAAGCACTGCAGAATAATACCATCAGCTATAGAGGACTACAAATCCCAGCAATACTTTATACAGCAATGCAGAATCTAAGAAGCTGCATACTTTGTATTGCCCTGGGTTTACAGCCTGATGTATTTGCTATAAACCTCCAAATATAGGGGAAGAGGGAGAAGTCAATCTTCACTCACAGATAGGAATAGCTGGGAGAGAGGGCAATGTAGTCGTGATGGGTGACTTCAATTACCCAGACATAAATTGGGCCAATGGAACTTCGGGTTCGGCAAAGGCGGGGCGATTTCTAAACATGTTGCGCGACAATTTCATGGACCAGATGGTGGAGACTCCTACCAGAAAAAATGCCATCTTAGATCTAATTGTCACTAATAATGCAGAGTTAATCGAGGATATTGTAATTGGGGAGTCATTGGGTAATAGTGATCACAATGTGATTACTTTTAATATTGAACACAGAAAAGGGAAGTGTACTGGAAGGACTAGAACCCTAAACTTCAGAAGGGCCAACTTTGAGAAGCTGCGCAACCTAGTGGGGGAAATAAAATGGGAAAACTTATTTCAAAACCTAAACACAGACCAGATGTGGGATTGTTTTAAAAACACAGTACATACTGCTACTTCAAAGTGTATACCTTTAGGGAGCAAAAATAAAAGATCAAAGACTAAACCAATATGGCTTAATAAAACTGTAAAACAACACGTCAAGGACAAGAGAGCGGCATTTATAAAATATAAGACGGAGGGGACGGCATTGGCGTTCCTTAACTACAAAGAATGTAACAAAAAATGCAAACTAGAAATCCGGGCAGCTAAAACTGAGTGCGAAAAGCATAT